GTAAAGATTTTGCTATTTACTGCGTTTCAACAAAACGTACAACTTAAAATGTACAAAAAGAGTATTTAAACATTGGCTTAAGTAAAGGTCAAAATTATTCTTCATTTTCGTCGGAACTGCAAATTTCCATAGATTCAATGCAACACTCCAAATCTTCCAAATTATGGAGATTTACATCACCTTAGTCAGCAGAAATAGTAGAAATAAAATAGTCGTTATTTTAGCACAGCTGAAAATAAAATAGGTAACTTGTTTGGTACTTTATCATAGAGAAGTTGTGTACTTTTTTAAAATTGTTTTTGATGATAAATTATAACATTAAAAAAATACATTATTATAATTATGAATACTGATTTACTCTCATTCCCAATATAAGTATAAGAGTCGTACACTTTATCGTACACTTTTATTAGCAGGAAAGAGAAAATATTATATGTTGTGCCTGCATGTTACAACCGACCTGTCTAAATATTTTGATATAAGTATGTGTATAATAATGATATAAAAAACATGTATACATTTTAATTAATATTTGAAACATTTGTTTCCTGCGAGATGAAGAGTGGGAGAGGCGAAATCGTTCGCCATCATTAGCACGACTGAGGAGAGAACTATTATTTGGTCTGCCCGCATGTTAGAACCAACCGCTCTGTGTAATTTTTTGGATATGTGTATTCAAATAATAGATTTTATTTTTCTGATCAGACTTTAGACAAAACTGTATGATAATTAATCCTTTGATTTGTACAAAAGAACAAAATAATACGGCAGGCCGACGACAACAAATTATTTGTGTTCATTTTTGCATTAAAAATACGTTTTTGCGAAGTGTTAATCAGAGAAATGTGAGGCAAGATTCTAAGAAAATGCGAAATTGATGACTCAGTAAATAACACCTTTTGTAAATGTAGCAAGGTAATGACGTAGTAGGAGTTTTCATAATTTTGGAGATTATGACTTAATTAAAAGTTCCTGAGCCATTTTCATAGAAATCATAAATATTCATCATTAACTATTACTAAATAATTTATACATTGCTAGGGCAGTCGCTCCTACACTAATTTACCATGTCCTTTAGGGTTTCGCTGTATTCTTATTTTTCATACACGCCTAGCGGCCGCCTGCGATTTCGTTTGTATTAGTCTTTTAATTTTTCGGGTTAATATATAACCTATGAAACTCACAAATAACGTGGCTCTCTATTGGCAAAAGAATTTTCAAAATCTGTTAAGTAGATCCAGAGACTACCTCCTACAACCTCACAGACTCGCAAACTTTACCTCTTCTAATATTAGTATAGTCTATGTTACTTATTTCACAACTCAGCATTAAATCATAAATGCAACAATAAAATTGATTCTTTTGAGCGTTTGGAAGTACGTACGAAAACCTTTGTTTGTGAGTCCTACTCGTAGTAATTTGCCAGTTTTTTATCGTATGAGGTTTCAGACTCCATATAAATACATACCTACTTACGGCACTTCTATAAAAAAAAATAAGTAAAATAAGTTATAGGTACAAACAGCCACAGAACAAGTTAGCATGTACATACATCACAAGAAGTATGTTTCTAAGGGAAAGTCTAGCAAAACTCCATAGCATATTTTTCTATATAGCTTTGTACTTTATAGGACTGTTTTTTAATTTAAATATTAAAATTAAAGTAGAGTTTCTTAGTGTTTCGTGGCCAATATATTTCGCATCTGTGTATGTGGATAAAAAAAACGAGCGAGCCTTACAATAGTCGCGTATGATGTGTCACATTTGAAACTTCACCTTATATTAGTAAAAAAAGAAATAAAACCTATTACAAAAGGAATAAGCCATTTGAAGATTATGTTCTAAACTCAAATCAAATAGCGCGCGCTTCGCGACTTCCTGTTACACACTTCCGTCCCATTTCACGAAATCACTTCCACAAATTGCAGGGAAGCGGGAGGAAAGATGTGACACATCAAAAACAATTAAAAGTATCTTCATATTAGAGTGTAGGTTTATTGCTAACTCTAGTTCCATCGTCAAATTCTCATCCCACTGTAAAGATTGTGAAAAAGAAAAATTACGTGTTAGAAATAACACATTAAGGGCCAATATATTGCTAGGGCATAAATAAGTCTGCACGGTTCTAAAATGTCAACTCGCAAAATATGTAGTTAGTGGGAACAGTTTGCGTCACTTTTTTTTTTACTGGTAACTGTTAATTTTTTATGAAGCTTTACTTTGTGATTGTTTCATATGCAATGACGCCCACTATTCGTTTAATAGAAAAATCTTTAAAAAATATATAATATTTGAATCGAAAAATATATTTTGATATATAATAAAATTTTGTAAGCAGATAGATTGGACAAGGAATAAAAGCAATGGTTAATGTTTAGATGTCGAAACTTAACAAGATTTCAAACGGATGTTGAAGAGGAATCTATGAAATTTTTAAATTATTCTTATCATTTCGAATCCTTTCTAAAGTCCATGTCCCAGCCTTGACAGTGTTAAATTATTATCTTTTTTTCTAAAGCCGAAAATTCTTTCTTTTGGTGCTTTGAGCTAAATTTGAGCATTTAAAGAGCTGATACGATTTTTAGAGAAATAAATAAAAGAAAATATAGTTACTCAACAATCATTATATTATACCTACATTCAAAAATTCTAATTCAAATAAAATATTACAATTTTTTTTTTCTAAAATACTTAATATTTTTTTTACTTATAATGTGAATTTGTATTGAGAGCTTACATACTAAGGGCTTATAACTAGAAAGAAATAAATTTAAGTACAAAAAAAAACAAGTAATATATAGACTATTCGAATGCGCAGTGAAGAGCGTATATACTTAACGCCAACGTCATTTTCTGCACGTCGGACACAACCAGTTCCCGTCCGAGGCCTCCGTGATGCCGACACACGCGTAGTGGTACCACTGGTACTGGCACTCGTCTCCGTCGCAGCCGATCATCGGCGAGTCTCGATCGTCCTTCCCGCAGTAGCAGTAGATGCTTTCTCTGCTACTCGTGGCTGACTCCGCAGCCCACTCGCCGGCCATGATCTCATCATAGGGCAGCACGTGGCAGATGTGGACTGCGAACTGCCACCTTCTCACGTTGCACTTATTGCAGCTGATGCTCTCAGTGCCATGGCGCCAGAAGAGGTGACACACCATGACCTTATAGTCATCGTAAGTAGCAGAGCATCCACCGCAGGTATATTTCTTCGGTCGTGTTGACTCGGTCATTTCGAAGCCGGCGGTTCTCATTATAAGAGGATATAATATAGGTATCGAAGGCAAAAAAATGGAGATACGTTCTTGAAGAAAGTGCTATTGGAAATAACTGATAATTAAACATTTTTATTCATTATATAGGGGTTTTTTAACCGTAAAAGACACTTAGGATCAGTCGTTAGCAAATGACACTATAATGAATTTAAGCTCTATACAAATGTTTCCCAAATACCCACTTCATTAATTAATAGATTTGTTTGTCATAATAAATGACATCTTAGGTATACTTTACATCATAAAGTTAAAATTCTAAAAAAACATTTTCTCTGAATGCTCCAGACACTATTGTAGACACTCTCTAATTTAAGTACATAGTGCACGTAGGAACCTGTTGTTGGGATAAAAAGTAAAAATTAACATTTAATTCTACACTTAAATATATTCTATATTTCTTCCAGTTTCAATTTTACTTTCAAATTTAAATTCTGTAGTCTGAGCTTTCAAAACTAACATTGGCGTTTGGCCTGCTTATTGGTCCCTTTATCAAACTTTAGCTGTAAAATCAAGCCACAAAGACAGCCTGAGCAACATTGGTTGAATATGGTAGTATAGACAAATTATAGTAATGTCGAAATCTAACAAAAAATTTACTACAAAAAGTCGGTCTAGTTTTTTCATTACATTTGAATCGTATCAGTTAAAATAAAAATGTTGTAAAGTAGTAACGTCTTCATAAATATACACATAATTAATTTCTCGCACCCTAAATATTACCGTTCTACCGTTTAGTCAAACTAATATAACTTCTGAAATTATTTTAAACTGTAATTTATTTTTTAGGAGTAGGCCGAGATGTTTCTATGGTGAGCGGAGAGCATTGGTCACCCATGCCCCCCCTAACTACGCTCATGACTCTGCTTAATCGTTGGCTGTTCATCATCACAATAAAATTTAAAGGAGATTGCTCAGCTTCCATACATGTTTGGCCGAAAGACCAATAATCATGAAAATTTGTTTCCTAGATTCGAAATTATATATAAATTACTGTAGAAACGAATATTATTGACGGACACCCCTGAGGACTTCTATAAACCATAGACATAGGTATAGGTACATAGGTATTAAAATAATAAAAAACAAATAAGTAACTAAATTATGTATTAGATTCAGGTATATAAAGCATGTAGATTAATAAGTTGCCTGTTTTTAAAGTTAATGCATAAGAGTAACTTTCAAAATCAGGTATCATCTTCATCATCCTTGTGTATTTGTCCCAGGAAAGGTATATCTTCCGGTAACAGCCACGTTTCCTGGAGAGCTACTATATCAGCTGACTGGCACAGAATCTGAATAGCGTTAATAGAACGCTTCACCGATTTACAATTAAAACTTATTAGGTTCAATTAAGTACAATTAAGAAAGGTTAGGTATTTGCTTAGGAGCCTTTGTTTTGTATTTATCGTGTACAAACCGCCGAATGAAAACTAAAGCCAAGAATTCTTTCTTTTAGTGATTTGAGCTAAAGGTAAGCTTTTAATGTACCGATACGATTTTTAGAGGAATAAATAAAAAAAATATAGTTACTCAACAATCACTATATTATACCTGCATTCTTTCAAAAAATCGAATTCGAATAATATACTACAATTTTGTTTTTCTTAAATACTTACATAATATCTTTTTTTTTTACTTATAATGTGAATTTGTATTGGAAAGCTTACATACTAAGAGGTAATAACTAAAGAGTAATAAACTAAAATACAAAAAAATAAAATAAAAAAAACTATATAAGTAAAGACGTAATAACTAGAAAGTAATAAACTAAAGCACAACAAAATAAAAAAAGCACAAGTAATAAATACACTTAAGCCTACTATAGACTTAAGCCAACGTCATTTGGCGCACGTCGGACACAACCAGATACCGTCCGGGGCCTCCGTAATGCCGACACACGCGTAGTGGTACCACTCGTACTCACACTCGTCTCCGTCGCAGCCAATCATCGTTGCGTCTGGAACGTCCTTTCCGCAGTAACAGTATATGCTTTCCCTGATACTCCTGGACGACTCCGCAGCCCAGTCCCCGAACATGATCTCTTCGTAGGGCAGCATGTAGCAGTTGTGGACAGCGAACTGCCACCTTCTCACATTGCACTTATTACAGCTGACGCTCTCAGTGCCGTGGCGCCAGAAGACACACCATGTTCTTAAAGTCATCGTAAGTTGCGGAGCAACCACCGCAGGTATATTTTCTCGGTCGTGAAGTAGCCCCAGTCCTTTCGATGCCAGCAGTTCTCATGATGAGAGTAGAATATCGAATGCAACAAAACAAGGAGATCCGTTAAATAAAATTAGTTTTTACGGGTTAATGCATAAAGTTTCGTGCATTAACCCGTAAAAACTAGTTTTATTTAATGACTGATGTGCGTGAAAACCTAAGAAACAAATAAGGAGATCCGTTGTTTAGGAAAGTGCATGTGATAATAACTGATGAAAAGCTAATTTAAACATTATACAGGTGTTTTTAACCGTAAAAGACACTTAGGATCAGTCGTTAGCAAGTGACACTATAATGAATTTAAGTCCTATACAAATGTTTCCTAAATACCTACTTCATTAATTAATTGAATTGCTCAAATTTGCCCAAATGAACAAAAAATATTGACATGTACGGTAATTCTTGGCATAATTTATACTTTATTTTGCAATCATTAGATTTTAACAGACACCTTTGTATAATATATTCATTTTAAAAAGAACTTTTAATTTTACCGGTTTGAAAAACATATGATTCATTTTTAATAGCTATGGGTGTAGTAACATTCAGCCAAAGACTGATCGAAGTTGTTTATATAACATAAAATCAAATCTTTTTTGTAGATATCGATAAATAAAACATTGTTTTTAATTACACTGTTGTATTAATATCCACAACTATATTATCATTTTTACTACTTGCAAATGTGCTAAGACAATTATTATAGATTGTAGGCGACATCATAAAGTCTATTGCCATACATTTTTCGCCAAACACCTCCGTAAACACATTATAAGAAAATCCAAAATATGATTATAATATAAACATAACAAAAGTAATGAAGCTACTGAAGATATGGCTGTGTAACCTAAATCTCTTAGCTTTCTTTGGTTAATGAGAGTTTAAAAATTCTCTCTAATCTGTGGCTCATTCACAATCATCACACAATTTCTGTCACAGAGTACATTATTATAACCGGAAATGAATAGATGATACTTGATTTTGTGCACTTTAAAAACAGGCAACTATCTATTAATCTACATGCTCTAAATACCTGAATCTAATACATAATTTCGGTACTTGGTTTGATTTCCCTAGTTTACTTTATAACTTATTTGTTTTTTATTATTTTAATACCTATGTACCTATTTGCAAACATAACCTCAAAATCGTTCAGTGTATATGGTTTATAGAAGTTCTCAGGGGTGTCCGTCAATAATACTCGTATCTACAGTAATTTATTTATAATTTCGAATCTAGGAAACAATTTTTCATGATAATTGGTCTTTAGGCCAAACATGTATGGAAGCTGAGCAATCTCTTTTGTAGCTTACCTGTTTTTAAGAGTTAAATCCATTTCTTACATTCAGTTATTTAAAACAGATATAAAATATACATCTCAGATATAGTTTACAAGTTAACATCATAAAGTTAAAATTAAGAAAACGCAAAATACATTTTCTTTGAATTCTCCAGACACGAATATATACACTTCTAGTATAAGTACATAATGCAAGTAGGAACCTATTGTTGAGATAAAAAGGAAAAAAATCATTTAATACTACACTTGTATTCTATATTTCCTTCCCTTTCAGTTTTACTTTCAAATTTAAGTTCTGTAATCTGAGCTTTAAAAAACTAACATTGGCGTTTGGCCTGCTTACTGGTCCCTTTATCAAACTTTAACTGTGATAATGCCAGAAAAACAGCCTGAGCAACATTGGTTGAATATGGTAATATAGAAAATTTATACTAATGTCGAAATCTAACGAAATTTTACTACAAAAAGTCGGTCTAGTTTTTGATTACATTTGAATATCTATTAGGTAAAATAAAAATATTGTAAAGTAGTAATGTCTTCATTTATGTACTACATAATTCATTTCTCGCACCCTAAATATTAGCGCTCTGCCGTTAAGTCAAACTGATATAACTTCTGAAATTATTTTTAACTGTAATTTTTTTTCAGGGGTAGGCCGAGATGTTTCTATGTTGAGCGGAGAGCATTGGTCACCCATGCCCCCCCTAACTACGTTCATGACTGTGCTTAATCGTTGGCTGTTCATCATCTCATAAGAATTTAAATTTATTAGTTATTGATACATAAATGGCAAACAAATGATCCTACTAATATTATTAATGTGAAAGTTTGTATCTAAATCAAGATCAAGAATCGAGACATAGGATACTATTTCTCCCCAAAATATGGACAAGAAAATCAGACCTAGGTCGAGTCAGCTTATTCTAATTACCTGTTACGTTTTTACGCTTTAGATGATGAATATTGACGTAGAAATAAGAGGTACCTATTAGAGAGGTCCCTTATTTAAATAGACTATATTTATAATTTTATTTTTTTAAGCATGTAACTGCTTGATGTTTAAATCTAAAGAAAATGTAACTAGAAAAAAATCCACGCCGACCAGGCAGCAGACGGGACTCGAACCCGCACCCTTCGCAATCCGGGCGAATGCACTGGCCAATTATGCTACCGTGGCCCTCACAGACCGCGTCGAAATTCTGCTAGCCATTCTTAAGCTGCAAGGCAGCGCCATCTCTTCGCATTGTAGGTAACCCACAATTTCAAATGAATACTTTTACAAGTATTAAACATTTGAAAGAAGACTAGGTATATTTTATAAAAAAAATAAAACTGGGAGTTAAATAAGTATGACAAATTTCGGGAATCTAAGCAAAAACGCAAATTCTTGCAATATACACACAAATAAAGCAGCGCATCACAATTAAATGTATTTTAAATTTTATTATATTCCCTTAAAGTAACTCAATAAGATTGTTTTATGTTGTACTATTGACTGCCCGCCACCCTGGCTTCATTTCGGTGTAGACATTTTGTTTTCGGGATTGTATTAAAGATTGAAATGTATTACTATAATATATATAAGTAAAAATGTTACTATCAAAACAAAACTATGGACAATTACGTCTAAATTTTTTTGACGTGACAACGTCTTAAATTAGGTTGCGGCTGGGAGTCACTTATGAAAAAGTGTAACGCTCGGTAACGTTACGATGAGTCTCTCGTGTTAAGTTTAAGTTTACATGTACAATGTTTTAGTAAACAAAATATATTTCTATAGTTAAAATTTGTGCAATTCTTATTTTCATTCAATTCCTTGTTCCTATTGTGCAATTTAATTATATTCATATCAATAAATATTCTACCGAGAAAAAGACGTTGTCACGTAAAATCTTCGCCCGTAAAACCGACTTTACAGGCAACCATTTTTTTTGTTATTATTAACCTAAAACTTCTGGGAAAAAATATCTTACTAAAACAGATAAGCTACGAATTCGCAATGACAAACAAATCAATTAATAAAAGAGATATGTAGAAAATAATTGTGTAGTGTTTTAATTCATTAGTGGTGTCTGTTACTAACGACTGGTCTTTAATGTGCCTTATTGTTGAAAAACACCTTTACTTATGTCTAATAATAAAACTTTATTAGATTTTATCAATTGAACTTTCCTACACAATGGTTCTCCTTCTTTTCTGTCGTTCGATTTCGTTCTCTCTTAGTGAGACCGAGACAACAACAACCGAGGAAATATACTCGTGAGATGGTGTGTCATCTTTTCTACAATTTTATAATTTATCACTCTTTTTTAAGTCATAAAGATAAAAAGTCTTTTAAAGAATTAAAAATAGTAAAGATTTTGCTATTTACTTTGTTACAACAAAATGTACAACCTTAAATGTACAAACAGAGTAATTATAAAGGATGGAAATGAGACATGTATGTATTTAAGATCCAGAGCATACGAAAGCTGTCTATTCGATCGCGCGATCGTGTGTATGCGTCTTGGCTGGCTCCCTTGGCGCCTTACTCAACCAACGGGATGATAGTGTTGATAACACTATCGTCCCGTTGGTTGAGTAAGGCGACGCTAGTTTCAGGACAGCGCCGGCGTAATAAACCGTGTGAGTGCGCACACATCGACGACCATCGCTGCCCACATGAGCCGCAGTCACTACTCCGTGTCTCCAGCAACTACGTTCTTAGCTAGACTCGATTAAAATAACGTAATCACCAACTTGTAATGATCTGGACTCTTGCGTCCATTTTTGTCGAGGGATAAGTTTTTGGCAAATACTCTTTGGTCCAACGGACCCAAAAAGCATCAGCCAAACGTTGAGCTACTCGCCACCTTTTCTTAAGGCAGAGATCACTGTCATCGTACCTATCAAATGAGGGATTATTTGATGGAGAGCCAATTAAAAACTGATAAGGCGTGCCTCCGGGTAATTTGGATCAGTAGATACGTGCGTTATAGGGTGACTGTTAATAATCGATTCTACTTCCAATAACAGAGTTGTTAATGTGTCGGGGTGAGGAGCTCGTACTTTTAAAATTATTTTTAGGGCCGATTTAACGCTTTTTATCATTTGTTCCCATGCGCCACCCATTTCAGGCGCTCCTGGTGGAATAAATCTCCATTCTACATCACGAACTGTCCCATCTCCACGTAGTGAATCAGTGTCCAGTTCAGCCAAGCTCAGCTTCAGTTCATAATCGGCGCCTCGTAAAGGAGATTGCCCAAATGCACAAAAAATATTGACATACACGGTAATTCTTGGCGTAATTTATAATTTAATTTACAGTCATTAGATTTCAACGGACACCTTTGTATAATATATTTACTTTAAAAAGGACTTTTAATATTACCGGGTTGGAAAACATACGAATCATTTTTAATGGCTATGGGTGTAGTAACATTCAGCCAAAGACTGATCGAAGTTGTTTATATACCATAAAAACAAATCTATTTTGTAAAGATCGAAAAAAAAATTTTTTTTTATTACACTGTGGTATTTTTTATCCACTACTATATTATAATTTTCACTAGATGCAAATGTGCTCAGATTATAGATGGTAGGCGATATCATAAAGTCTATTGCCATACATTTTTCGCCAAACACCTCCATAAACACATTATAATCTGTATATATGTTAGACTTTAATGTATCTATCTATGGACCTACGTTCCCTGACTATAAAAAAATAAAATTATAAGGTGTGATGCACTAAAAATCTTAAATATGGTTATCTTAAAAACAACCTAACAAAAATAATGAAGCTACTGAATATATGGCTATAGAACCTAAATCTCTTAGCTTTCTTTGGTTAACGAGAGTTTAAAAATTCTCTCTAATCTGTGGCTCATTCACAATCATCACACAGTTCCTGTCACAGAGTACTTTATTATAACCGGAAATGACATCTGATTTTAAAAGTTACTCTTATGCATTAACTTTAAAAATAGGCAACTATCTATTAATCTACATGCTCTAAATACCTGAATCTAATACATAATTTCGGTACTTGGCTTGATTTCCCTAGTTTACTATATAACTTAATTGTTTTTTATTATTTTAATATGTTCAGTGTATATGGTTTATAGAAGTTCTCAGGGGTGTCCGTCAATAATATTCGTTTCTACAGTAATTTATATATAATTTCGAATCTAGGAAACAATTTTTCATGATTATTGGTCTTTAGGCCAAACATGTATGGAAGCTGAGCAATCTCCTTTGTGCCGTTATCGGAATAGATGACGTTAGAAAACCCTCGGCGCGCATCGTCATATTGCCATGATGTTAGAATCGGTACTGAGATCTTCAGTAATCTTTATATGTATGGCACGTATGGTAAGGCAGGTATAGCGTTTCTGCCTTCTACGCCCTAGAGTGACCTCAAGTGGTCCAAAAAAATCTACACCAGTAAAGCTGAATGGACGACGGTCACATTCCAATCTAGTTGCTGGTAAATCAGCAATGGGTTGTGGCTTCGGCACTGCTTTTCTATAGCGACAAAATAAACAATGCTCCGATATCGAGCGTACTGACGGTCTGAACCGCAACACACAGTATCGCTGTCTAAGTTCGTTAACTACGAGCTCGTTAAACCCATGAAGAGCTCGCCTGTGATAATGGTCTAACAAAAGTCGTGTAATCCTGTGCTGACCATCTAGAATGACTGGCCTCCGTACGGACTACTCGACACCTACAACTTTGTCGATACGACCGCCAACACGAAGAATACCCGTCTCATCACAATAAGGTGATAATTGTATCAAACGACTGCTTGATATTAATGACTGGCCTTTCTATAAATATGTTAATTCAGTTCCAAATGGAGCCTGTTGACATTTTTATTATTATGATTTCTTCTGCTTTTACATTAATGCGACGTCAAGTTGAGGATCTGTACACCTACACTTTTTAATGTAAAGCAGAACTGTAGCGGTTGCACGTAAGTATAAGAGTGGTCCACTTCGAGATATTATCTTCATTTGGTAAAGATAAATCCGAGCTTTCAATCACTGATAGAACAAACCGTTCCTCACAAATAGCGTCCTCTGACTTTTAACCGAACTTAATGTTCTTAGGCCAATCGCTCTCAGGACGGCGTAAAAATGCAGGACCCTGAAACCATACACTAGGATATTCTAATGGAGTGGCATCTTCTCGGGATGCTATATCAGCGATTCGCTAAGGTACGTGTCGCCATTCACAAACTTTGGTCAATTCATCGATCTCACGAAGTTGATGGGCTACATAAAGCTTGTAGTTAGTTGCATGGGTAGCGACCCATGCAACTAACTACAAGCTTTATGTAGCATGTGTACATGTAGTTTATGTATGATTCGCAGCGGCGAATCCACTGCAACACGGTACTGGATTTTGTCCAGTAATAGCGCTTGACGCTTTGAACATTTTTTATGTTCAGGACAAATAGTATCAGCTAGAAGAGCGCCTAATAACGTCCCTTGTAGTTCGAGTCTTGAAATGGAAATAGGGTGCAGTGGACTAACTCTGAGTTTACTAGCAGCGAAACAAACTAATACGAGCCCATTGATCAATATAAATCGCCAATAAATGACCGACGCGTATGATTTCATAGACGCGTCGCAAAAGGTGTGTAATTCTTTTTCTACGATATCCGAATCAGTAATATGATTAAATTTGTACTGTTGTGGTACTCCGGGATAGCATGGTGTCCAATCATCTATATTTAAATAACAACGCGGAATACGTGACGTACGTAATAATTGTAATTTCTTTAGCCAACTCGTCCACTATGCATGCTCATCGCTTTGGATGCGGCAGTTCCATTCAACACCGCTGCGGTGAACAGACTAAAAGATTATTTTCTTTTTATGATAAAAGATGAAAGAAAATCACAATTGTTAAGCATTATTATGTCTGTGTATGACAGACATAATAATGCTTAACAATTGTGATATAGTAGGAGGCTCTAGACCATTCAAAACTTCACTAGGAATCCGATCAAATTTAATGTGGTAACCAAATGAATCATCATTCGGATACCACACCAGGCCAAGAGTGCGCTCAGTCACATTCGTAACTCCGTGGCTGAATGCTATGGCAGTCTGCGCCAGCGCGCATCGGGAGGGATAGTACCACAATACATTTTGGGATAGTAGGTACTTAGTATTTGTTTACTATTGCTTGACCAGCGCGCTATTTCAAAGCCACCTTTGCTATGAATATAAGTAATATCACATACTAATTGCATAGCTTTTGTCTTACTATCGCAAGAATGTATAGATTCATCCATATGATGATTGTTTATAATGACATCTACAGCATCAGGAAATAAGTCTTGATATTTTAAAGCGTTTTTATTTTTAATATACTGAGCAATAAACGGCGAGCAAGTCGCGCCAAATATTAATCTTTGCATAACACAGATTTTAATCGGTTCATTTGAATTATTTTGCCACAAAAAACGAAATACGCGCTGATCTTCAGAGCATATTTTTATTTTAAGAAACATATCTTTTACGTCTCCAACTAAAACAAATTTATGTTGACGAAAACGTAACATTATACCTAGAAGCGAATTATAAATATCGGGACCAGTCAATAAATAATCGTTTGAACAAACAACATTAACTTTTCCCGCTGCGTCAAAAACTAATCGTAATTTACCAGGTTTATTTGCATTTTGCACTCCAAAATGTGACAAATACCAAACGCGGCTAGCCGAGAGTTCATTTTCCTTAAGTTCCCGAGCGTAGACTAAGTCAAATAATATTTGTATCTCCTGACGATACCTAGTTGCATATAAATCATCTGTTGCAAAGTTTTTCAATAAACTTTTAAAACGACAGAGAGCGTAATTATAACTATCGGGCATTGAAAAATGATCTTTAATAAAAGGTAATGCGACTTCCCAACTTATCCAATATTACGTGAGCTCTCGTCTAGAATACGAACAGCTCTCAAATCTGCCGAATTCTCACCACACATAGTCGAAATTCCCATGGCATCTAATTCGTAGAACTGCTTAATTAAATTGGACGAATCATTCAAAGCGTTATCAGTTGTAGTAGCATCTAAGGAGTCTGAGCGAGCGAGATGGAACGTATGACCATTGACAGGAGCGTGACTGCGACCGATGCAGCCGTGAATGGTCCATCCTAATCTGCATTTTGTTGCATATGGTTCCGATTCATTCCCGTGCAAAGTTTCTAAGAGAGCCATTAGGAAATAGTTATCTTCGCCGATCAGTAGACGAGGCACAACACACTATTTACAAACGTAGTTTTTAATATTAAACAATTTATCATAAGTAATATCATTACAATTGAAATATTCTGTTTATGTAACTGTAGTTAATCTACTTGACGTAAAGTTAAATCGTAAAATTTGTTATTAGAATTCCAGAAATATTTGTACATACTTCAGGAGCATCTGATTGAAAAGCTTCTAAACCGAAAGCATCTACAAACTTTATACAACTAGGTTGAAAACACTGTAAGCCTAATTCACGCACCAATGTTTTTTCTATCATCGATATCGCGGCACCATCGTCTAATAATTTAATGTACTCACGTTACCGACGGGTCCACTGACAATCACTTTTACCACTTTGAGAAGGACGCGCTGCTGCGGCGAGCGCTGCCCGCGCAGCAGCGCGGGCAGCTCGTGTCCATTCGCGGGGTCCGTCACATAGGCGACGGTGGCGCGCCCCTGAGGCCCGGGTCCAGGCCCCGGCTGAGGCGCCCACATGGATGACTGTGGCGCGGTGGCAGAGCGCTGTACACTCTGCGCCCCAATGGAGGATTCGATGTCAGACGACTGCTGCACGACTGACGCGGCACTGGTTTATTGTAGTGTAGTAAGGGGTGATTTGACGTTCCACAACTGTCAACGTTGCTATTCGGCGTTGGGCATTCGTTGCGATCGTGTCTTCTTGACAAACAACAATAGCATACATTGTTATCTTTAACAAATCTCCAACGATCTTTTCTCATGGCTCTTTTGAATATACGACAGTTAGATAATGTGGGCGATGATTTCTTGCAGAAATGATAGTTTGCCTCTCTGTCGCTCGTTGAAGTTGCAGTGAGTACCGGTCGATCATAAATATTATACTACGACTATATCGGAAATCAGCTGTAGGCTTCCGTGCGTAGGTAACAGGTTAGGATTTTTTTGTTCTCTCGTCTGAGTCATACCCACTACAGATATCATTACTGCCTCGCGTTTGAGGAATTCTGCAACTAACTCCAATTTAGTGACTTTTTCTCTCAATTTCTCATATGCGGAGTCGGTCCATTTGCTAATAAGTGTACTCGGAAGTTTGGATGTAATGGAAGATAATAATTCCTGACTACACAAATAATCATTCTGATTAATTGCTCGTAAACAGCCACACGGTTGCTCACTTTTTCACAGAGAAGTTAAACAATTTCTTGTTGATAATTATTAGGTAGCGGTGTTAGCTTTTTCATCTGGTTTAGCAAATGGTGAATGATGATATCTGATCGTCCAAAACGTAATTCAGTGCGTCAAGTATGAGTGATGGCGAAGTGTTGCCAATCAGGAGATCAGTGACTGCTTCTTTGGCTCTCCTCTCAATTTTCCGATTCAGAAAATTTGCACATTTATGACGTTTCATTATAGGCACTTTTGAAGTGTAGCCATTCAATGCAGTCTCCAATGAAGATAGGGAGTTCACGTAGGGTAAATAGACGCGTTAGAA